TGGTCAGTCGCTTCGCCGGGGGGGACGAGAACAACTTGGGGGAGAAGCCTAGTCCCCCAGGCAGGGAGAGAGGAGCCAGGCTCTCTGCAGAGTGACTCGCATGGGGAAGATGTTCGTGAAGCATCCTTTGTGCCTACAGTTCAGAAAAGCAAAATCCAGTGTGTGGCAGCGTTATTGCGCTGGTGGGTGGCAGGCCCATGGCTGCAAGCGGTGTTGTGGTGCTGGGTGATAGGCCCCAGCTGGCTGGGTGCAGGCGGTGTTGGGCGCCAGGCCCCGGCTGGCTGGGTGCAGGCGGTGTTGGGCGCCAGGCCCCGGCTGGCTGGGTGCAGGCGGTGTTGGGCGCCAGGCCCCGGCTGGCTGGGTGCAGGCGGTGTTGGGCGCCAGGCCCCGGCTGGCTGGGTGCAGGCGGTGTTGGGCGCCAGGCCCCGGCTGGCTGGGTGCAGGCGGTGTTGGGCGCCAGGCCCCGGCTGGCTGGGTGCAGGCGGTGTTGGGCGCCAGGCCCCGGCTGGCTGGGTGCAGGCGGTGTTGGGCGCCAGGCCCCGGCTGGCTGGGTGCAGGCGGTGTTGGGCGCCAGGCCCCGGCTGGCTGGGTGCAGGCGGTGTTGGGCGCCAGGCCCCGGCTGGCTGGGTGCAGGCGGTGTTGGGCGCCAGGCCCCGGCTGGCTGGGTGCAGGCGGTGTTGGGCGCCAGGCCCCGGCTGGCTGGGTGCAGGCGGTGTTGGGCGCCAGGCCCCGGCTGGCTGGGTGCAGGCGGTGTTGGGCGCCAGGCCCCGGCTGGCTGGGTGCAGGCGGTGTTGGGCGCCAGGCCCCGGCTGGCTGGGTGCAGGCGGTGTTGGGCGCCAGGCCCCGGCTGGCTGGGTGCAGGCGGTGTTGGGCGCCAGGCCCCGGCTGGCTGGGTGCAGGCGGTGTTGGGCGCCAGGCCCCGGCTGGCTGGGTGCAGGCGGTGTTGGGCGCCAGGCCCCGGCTGGCTGGGTGCAGGCGGTGTTGGGCGCCAGGCCCCGGCTGGCTGGGTGCAGGCGGTGTTGGGCGCCAGGCCCCGGCTGGCTGGGTGCAGGCGGTGTTGGGCGCCAGGCCCCGGCTGGCTGGGTGCAGGCGGTGTTGGGCGCCAGGCCCCGGCTGGCTGGGTGCAGGCGGTGTTGGGCGCCAGGCCCCGGCTGGCTGGGTGCAGGCGGTGTTGGGCGCCAGGCCCCGGCTGGCTGGGTGCAGGCGGTGTTGGGCGCCAGGCCCCGGCTGGCTGGGTGCAGGCGGTGTTGGGCGCCAGGCCCCGGCTGGCTGGGTGCAGGCGGTGTTGGGCGCCAGGCCCCGGCTGGCTGGGTGCAGGCGGTGTTGGGCGCCAGGCCCCGGCTGGCTGGGTGCAGGCGGTGTTGGGCGCCAGGCCCCGGCTGGCTGGGTGCAGGCGGTGTTGGGCGCCAGGCCCCGGCTGGCTGGGTGCAGGCGGTGTTGGGCGCCAGGCCCCGGCTGGCTGGGTGCAGGCGGTGTTGGGCGCCAGGCCCCGGCTGGCTGGGTGCAGGCGGTGTTGGGCGCCAGGCCCCGGCTGGCTGGGTGCAGGCGGTGTTGGGCGCCAGGCCCCGTTTGGTTTATAAAACCTGTTGTTTGGTTTTCCCACTTGCTGTGGTTTCTGGCAGAGGGTTATTTGTTAGATGGTTCCTTTTCCTTTTTCATAGCGGCGTGGCCTTATGGGAGAGATTAAACATAAGAGTGGCCAGACGGGGTCAGACCAATGATCAATCCAGCCCAGTGTCCTGTCTGCCCACAGTGGCCAATGCCCCAGAGGGATGGAACAGAACAGGGAATCATCATGTGATCCCTCCCCATGTCACCCACCTCCAGAGACACCATTCCTACCCATCCTGGCTAATAGCCACTGATGGACCTAACCCCCGTGAGTTTTATCTAGCTCTTTTAGAATCCTGTTAAAATCCTGTTCTTCACAACATCCTCTGGCAAGGAGTTCCACAGGTTTTGCACTGAGTGAAGAAAACTTCCTTTTGTTTGTTTTAAGGCTGTTTAAAATGGCAATGCAATAAAAACGGCAAAGTCTGAGTGAGTCTTCCTGTGTGTCCATCCAGCCGCTGTCTATCTGTGTCCCAGGCAGCTGTTCTGATGCTCCTGCTGCTGTCCACGCTCCTGATTTGCCACCTGCTCATTGGCTCCTGCATTATTGTCAGCGTCCTTCTACCGCACCATGGGACCAAATTCTGCCTTGGCACGAACTTGCCATGTCTCTGGGAAGTCACCTGTTTCCATCCCTCGTGCTTCCAAATCCAGGTCCTCTGGGAGTGCCTCGTTCAGGCCTCTCCCAGCTGCTGTTTCAAGTTCTCGGCAAACTCAGATGTAGTGCAGGCAACCCGCGCCTTGTGGTTACTCTTCCAACCAGGCAGCCCAGCCGTGTGATTGGTTTTCCCCACTGGAAGCGGAGATGGGTGAGTCCAGTTCTCTGGAATTTCTTCAGAATTACCTCCACTGTGCTGGTCTGGGAGCCACTTCCTTTCCCCACCCCACCTCCCCTTGCTTCCTGAAGCCAGCCCAGGGTAACTCCCCAGGATTTGACCCATTTCCCCCAGGCCTCTGGCCAGACAAAACAGCAGCAGTCAAGC